GGAATACTTACCTCTCTATTGATAAATGTAACACTCTTGGGGGAAAAAAGTTTACCACAGGATTAGTTGGTTGGGGTTTTTTTCCCCATTAGCAATTGTTAAGGTATATTTGTATTGTGATTCACTATAATTCCTTTTTGCTCATTAGGCCAGACATTTATTTTACTACTTCTGCATTTAATTTTTCCAGTCCAAGCACAATAGTTTGTGCTTTTATTTACTGCACTTGTCAGAATTCCAGACTATTTTCTCCAACTGGTGAAGATAATTTTGGACTGCAATCCTGAACTTGCCAGCTTCCATCAAGTGCCTGCCACCCTCCATCTAGGTGTCATCCACAAACCTGGTATACGTACTCTCTATTCTGTCAGGCACATTGCTAATGAAAATTTAGAGTAGCAGCAAGCACAGAACAGACTCCTGCAGATCGTGACTTGTAGTGATCTTTTGTTTTGACAGGAAACCATCAGGAACTAGTCTCAGTACAGTTTTTCAATCTGTTGAGCAACCAACTTTTAACAATTTCACCCAGACCATATTCCCCCACTTAGTTTACAAGACTGTCACATAGGACAGTATCAACCCCTATTAAAGCCAAAATATATCACATCTATTTATTCCCTATTATCCATTAGACCAATTGCCCTGTCAAAGGAGAAAATTAGATTGGTTTGACATGATTTGTTCTTGACAAATTCACGTTGGCTGTTTCTTATCACCTTATTATCCCCTAAGTGCTTACAAATTGATACTTTCATCATTTGTTCTAGATACCAAGCATAAACTAAATAGCATATAAGTCCTCTGGTCCTGCTTTTTTCCCCATGAAAGTTAAAACCATAGTAAATACTGTGGAGCTATATTGCATCCTTATCCTCCAAAAAAACGTTCACTATTCTTTTAACAGAACAGCACTTTTTGAATCCTGACAACTTCATACAGTTGAACTATGTATCGATTCAGTGGTACCTTCACTTTATAGAGATGAAGAAAAACAAGGTAAAAACCCAACAAATAAGGACTCCATGATGAGCATTCAGCTCATGATTTTCAGGAGAATATTACTACTGTTGCTATTTAAGTCAAACAATAATTTCTGGCTAACATATTTGGAAATATTTTTACAGTGTATCATAATGAAATTCAAGTCCTGTGAGTACATAGAAACACTGTCCAATCTTTCTCTAAAGGCAAGCTGGATTCTCACTCAGCCATCTGCATTAAACAAGAGGGAAGAGAAAGAGAGACTCCCTTTGCAAGAATTGACCTTGTTAACAGACACTGTCAGTACCTTGATCAAATGAAGAAATTAGAAATGTGGGCACAGGAAGATCATATAGTCAAGATAGGTGATCAAAAAATGAGGAAAATTTAGTACACTCTTTTCTTCCAAGCCATGGGGTCATTTGGGTGGTGGGGGTTGTTTGTTTGTTTGTTTTCTAGTGATTGCTCATGTTAGCAGAGAATTTACTCCTGCAACTACCTGTAAGCACATGAGTTGTCCTACTGAAGTCAGCTGGACTTCATTTTACAGGGTGCTTTTAGCAGATGTTTAATGTTTACTACAAAGCATGCATTTAACAGGTCTTCTGAACTGGTGCAATAGCTCTCAGCAGCTACCAAAATCTAAATGGCAACACAGACACTTGCAGCTAGACACATACTTAAATTTTTTGCCCTGTATTGGATGCACAACGTGAATGCAAATGTTATATATAGATCTCGCTCAATGCAAAAGAAAAAAAATAAATCACTGCTTGAAACGGACTCCACAGAACCTACCTCTGCTGTTCTAATGTTTTTTCTCAGCATGGAGAGTCTTTGGTTACTTGCTCATTCCTCCCTTCCCTTGTATGAGGAGATTTATTTTAAAAAGAAATACTGAACACACAGCTGTCATGAAGATTTATAGATAACTCCTTTAGAAAGAAGCTAAACAATTTTAGACTATTGTACTGCCTTTTCTCATTTGTCTTTGAAATGTAATTTTGATACCATGTAACCAGAAAAAAAGCTCTTCTGCCCTGAAAGAAATCTGTATCAAAGAGGAGAAAATTCTGTATTCTCCGCAAAAATGAAAAATCTCACAGACCAGTTTTATTGTAAACATTTTCATAATACTGTCGTGCAGTAGGTAAATGGAATTTCTATTCATTACTCTCTGATAAATCCTATCTCCAGCATGTAAAAATAAAGACATATTGGTAGAACAGCCACAAAGCCCTAGGTTTGTAAACAGAATAGCTATTTATTGTTGTTATGGTTTTAAATCTTGTTCAACAAAATATGATGAAAATGAAAGGTAAGAATATTCAGTAAATGAAAACTTTTTCATAATAATAAGAGAAAAAATTACAATGTGTGTGCCTGCCATTCATATAGTAGAGTTATTAAAAAATGATAGCTAGTAGGTCTTTTTCTGCAAAGCAATCTTTCCTTTAAGTCTCAACATTAAATCTTTAGTTTGGCACATTTTTGCTTCAAAAACTGGTGGACATTCAGAATTGCCCAAGCAACAGAGGAACTTAGCTCTACCTATGCCCCTCACATTGCAGAAAAGTATTTCTAAACTGCAGTGGAACTCTGACTACTTATTATTTCTTGAAAAGCCTCAGCAGAGCACTTTGTGATTTTCAGCAGTAATAACTATATGCACTGGAATGAGAAGAGACCATCATAAAGATATCCACAAATCTCTTCTGTGTGGTAGGGAAAAGGGGCAGAGATATCGTCCCAGGTTAATCAATGGGCAGCTTTTGGATCATAATCTCTCCATCAATCAGCAGCACTAGGGTTGCTTTAATAAGTAGGTGAATATTAAAAGTGGAAAGTGAAAGATACTCAGCAAGAAGGCCTCCCCATTCCATAAAGTTAATTATATTGATTTACTTTGAGAGAGGGGAGCATTAGAACAACTTTCTCCTGAAGGGTGTCGGCAAATTAGAGTTCAAGCCTCTATCGCTTGAAGGTGTGAAGCTTAACAGCTTTTCTTCCAAGAGTTTGCTGTGAACAGTCTAAATGAATTGCTTTCTTCCGAAACACATTTTTTGGACACTAGATGACTCTGAAAATGGCCACTGCTTCTTCCCCCTCTCTCCTTTGGAATCCTTTCTAAGAGCAGCAGAAAAGCAACAGTATGGGAACATACTTGTGAGTAGGAAGTATCAGTGTCCACTGACATCTTGTTTGCTTCTGTGTGTAAGAATTTTTATTTCAAACATTTTGTTCTGGAAAATGCCTAGCTCCTGTCCACTGAAAAATCTTCCAGTCGATGCATCAATCCAATCTGCTAATGACTAAGTAATTTTAATGATGTGTTCATCCTCTCTTCTGTCTGGATGTTTTTGCAGACTAACAAATGGTATACCCTCTTTGAAAGGAGGTGTTTCAATTTGGTATGTAACACTGAAGAGTTTGATGTCTCTTGCAGCTATATATTACATATGATTCAGTGTGACATGGTTTTTCCTAAGAGAAAGCTGAAAATTGTGAATGATGAGCTGGGCTACTCAGTCACTGGGATCCACTGTGGCCCAGAAGTCTCCATCGTCCCCTCCCCATGAATGGCTCAGTATTCACAGTCCTAATTCCAGCATCTGGCTTCTAGTTGGAAGAGCCTAATTTGGCTCTTCTGTTTTTATCTCTGAGGGACACGACAGCTCCAGAGAATGTATTACCCTTCCTTACACCACTGTTTGGGAATGATGTCAGTGTTAGAAGAAGATGTCCATACAGTCCATGAACTAGAAAACCTGGAGTCATCAGCGAAAGTAAGTACATGATGCTGACTGGTCTGGAAATTGTGACTGAGATTTTGTTAAAGTTATTTCTAAGGAATAAAAAGGTGAGGGGAACCAAGACAGCGGCATTATTTTCATCTCTAGGTGGCCAATCCTTAAAAGAAGGCTTCAAGGTTTAATTTAAGTTTTTGACAAGTTCATGGCTTTGATAAATAATTGATAAACCAAAAATAGGTACAAACTGCACATAAACAGCTGCCTACAAAGAAGCAGCAGCACACAAGAATTATTTCACTTCTTCATATGACTAACATGAGGAAGGAACCTCATGGACGTTTTTGAGTTAGACCTCACTCTAAATTCAAATATTTTTATTCTGACAGAAGCAACTTCCATATTTAAATTAGTACAACAGGTACTAAAGGAAAGACATTTGGTAGGGAAAGATAAGTTTCCACCAGCGATGCCCATGTCAAGAAACTTCCCAGAAAGACTAAAATAGCAGAAGAAAATATATTGTACTATTTCAGGTTTTGTCTGCACACACAAAGATCCTGGAGAAGGATATAAAGGAGTTAAATTCTAAGAGGCTTTTCTGTGACAGAACAGGTATTCCTTGGCAAGGAGCACCACAGCACAGCTTCCTTGGGTAGTTATGCGGGACAGGTTTCCTCTGTATATTAAAGATCATCTCCGGTTCAGCTTTTTCTACTTCATTGCTGAAGGAGTGAGAGGACATAAGGTAGGAGCCACTAGACAAAAAAAATCACCTGCCTTTTTTTTTTTTTAAAACCGCTACAGGACAGGAACATTAAAATACAATTCTGGCTAGACAGACATATTGTTGTAAGGGTAGAAAAAAAGAAGGTAGATCCACAAGGACTCTAAGTATATCTGAATAACTTCTAACATTTACAGGCTGAAAAGGAACACAAACATAACCAAGAGTGGTAGAAGAATTAGGACCCTGCAAATATTTCAGCCTTATTAGCAGTAGCGGATCAGTCCATTTTCCTATTTAAACTCTGTGCAGCACAACTGAAGTTGATGAGCTTGCAGGGATACATCCGCAGGGAAAATCTGGCCGGGTGTATAAACACTGCCAAATAATGGTGTGTGTTTGAAGCATCCTACTGCCTTTTCATCTGCTGAGCCACAAACTGAAATCACAACGCTTCATTTAGGTTCAAATTATGCAAATTATGGCACATCCTAGAAAATAAGTACATATTTCTAATTGATACAAAATGATCGACTTACATCAGAATTAAATCTCAGCTGGCAAATGTTGCAAGATATGATTTGCTTTCTTCGATGAGGAAGAGGAACCCCAAATGTATGATTTATTACAGCTTTTTGAATTGGGTCCATCTGTAAAGAGAGAAGAAAAAGGAAAATAAAAGCTTCTGCTGTTCCAGTGTATGCTATATTATCTATAGTCTCAAACCAGATTCTGCATCATGTGATACCATACCCCACACAACAGAAAATTATTACTTTTCCTTGAAAATGAATATTTCTTCTTCATGCAGTTTTACAAAGAGGTAATACAGACATGAACAAAGAAAACTGTCATTAGTCATTAGCTATCTTCAAGTACATATCCTCAGTTCAATTCTATATGAACCAATCTCCCTTTACTGAAGAAAGCTAAAAGCTGTAAATGCTGAACAAGTTTACCTATCAATACACCAACTTATGTTTTTTATATCACAGCAAAGCTAGCTCACTAAATGAAACAAGAACATTTTCAATAAAATTAATAAGAAAAGGATCAATGGAAATGTGAAGGAATATTATACACAAATAATTCCAGGATAACACACAATAGCTCAGTATTATGAAAAAAAAAATAATTTCCCAGGAACCAATAAATTAATCTTTTCCATAAAACAACTTCTACACAACCTATGAAAAATCAAAATCCTCCAAAGATTATTTTCACAGCCATTTAGAAAAAACTATTTTGAATAAACCCTACTTTAAGGATGAATTTTGACTTTCATGAAAAGCATAATTCTGACCTAACCTCTACCAGAATGCTGATCTGGCAGTGTCTGTAAGTCAGGGTCCCATAAAAAAAATATACCATTTTGGCAGAGAATTTTACAAAAGCTACTCGAGACTTTTTACATGGAGGATTGAAATCAACTTCCCCAAATTCATTGGTCAAAATTATTTATATTTCTTTTTCACAAGAAGCATTTGATAGCTATTTTTAAAATCTAGTAATAGCTTTACAGCAACTTGGTAAAGCCACTGACAGTTTTTATCATTAAATTGTATTGTTAAAAATTCATAGATTTTGCTGATGCAAATATAACTAATTGCCTAACTCTGATGATAACCAGTATTCAAGCAGCATAATTTATATGTGTCTTGAGAAAAAAACCTTCTTCTATGCTTATGCCCCCATGATTCACTTTTTTCTAGTCTGTTAGCAAAGGGTTATTTGATAAATAATCAGAGCTTTTCCTTAGAGTAATCAATTATTCATAGAAGCTGCAATGGTAGACAGTCATGGCCTCTATTGCAGTCAATCCACAACAGATCACTACGGAAATTTTGCATCACCTGACAGCTGTTCAGCGTCAGATATGAAATAGGTCATTAAACTAATTCCTCTTGAAAAGAAATTCAGATTGATTAAAAAAAAAAAAAGAACAAGGAAAATGGCAGAGCTTTAGATAAAGGTTTGGAAGAAATGCTCAGTTTGAACATCCTCTTCAATTTGATGTGAAAGTGAAATGCCTCATACATATGTGCAACCACCAGCATAAAAAAACCACCAATCCCACCTAGAAACTAGGGATTTCACTGTAACATAACCCCAGAATAACACTGATGGCTAAGGTCAGAGTATATCAAGCTCTGAAACACTACAGCATGCTGCGTAGAGCATACTGCTTCACTGCTGCTGAAGTTTGGAGAAATTTACCCTAAATTTCTAAAGAAATGTAGGCACTGTTTCTTTTGCCACTGCAGGTCTAAAATACTCAGGGAAACCTCAAGCTCAGATATATGAATAAGTCAGCACAAGGTAACAAGAAATTGTGCATTCTTTGATCCAATGTAAATGTTTGCCTTCATATTAACAATAGTTGTGACATACTATTAGTTTAGCCTTCAGTGTTAACATGTTAAACTCTTTCATGCTATCTCACAAGTGCCATAAGCAAAGAAAGCCAGCAAAGAAGCTCACTAAAGGTTATATGAAAGCTTCCACCATGGTTCGTAAGATGGAACAACTAATTTTTTGAGTTGGATTTACCCATCTTCACAGTAAGAATTCTAGCTCCAAACGTGGTTGGATTTCTATGATGCTCACATATTGAGGAGACAAATAATTTTTCAGAATTGAGAAAAATCATGAGTGTGTGGAATAGTTGGTCTACTTTGTATTTGATTTTATTTTGGTCCCATTGAAAAATGTGGAGTTTCTTTCCTAATCACTCTACAGATTTTCTCCTGTTTATCTGCTGATACAGAAATCCATCTGCACACTTCCCTTTCTCTTTCTAAAGATACAGACTTCTAGATAAACAGCTACATGGCCTTGTTGTGAACTGGGTGATTTGTGTTTGTGGCTCTAAATGAAGAAATGTTCTGGATAGCCTCCAAGTTGATTAAGAAAAGCTGCTTAAAAGTAAGAATCCCTTCTCTGCCAATTGCTCTTTGATACTGCATAGCAGAATTAAACTTCAAAACTTAGCTCCAGATTCTAATAAAGTTGGGGCAGAATGCTGGAGTGTATTTGACATTATTATTTTTTCCTGGAGGTTTCATTTGGGGAAACACCACCAATTGATACATTTCAAATAAACATCCAAAAGCACCAGATAAGCCTCCAGAAGTTTTATGCAGGAAATTTGTGAGAGGTAACAGGATACTTAGGTGCAGCATGATATGCGCTCAGATCTCACAGACACTAGAAGACAGAGACGAGCCCTGCTGAGAGTCAAAGGAACAAAGAGCAGCAGCTGATTGCTAGAAAAATAGAGAGAAAGGATTGCAGGGAAGTATAAAAAGGGAAGTAATATCACATAGCTGAGATAATCAGCAAGCAGTGAGATACTTAACAGAATCTCCAAGCACTTCTAGACTCACTGAGTGTTACTAATTACACATATAAATTTCAACTTATGTAAGTGGTATTTGCTTTCAAAATAAAAGTTATCACAATAAACTTTGATAAAATCTGCTTTTTAGTCATTACTAGTCCTATATTACAATTGCTGGGTTTTTATTTTATTTCTTAGATGCAGCTGATTTAATTTACTCCCATTTACAGTGAAGGACAGAGAGGTTTGCAGTTCACATGAAAGATTGATTCAGCTGTCAAAGGTTTGCAAGATGTACCCTTACTTCCTCTCACCAATGTATTTGCACTGTAAGTTACAACACAAAGAGGGTGAGCTGCCCTGTGTTTGACTCGTTCACTACCTTTTGCTTTTATACTATCCAGCACTAGGTATCTCTTACTATGTAACGCAGGCTGTGTCACACTTTTTCCTTGTGGTCAGTCTAGGGATAGCATGTTGCTCAAGGTTCACTGCAAACCACAGGGTAACTGTTAGTTTGGGCAATGAAGATAAATATGAAAGGTTTCATATTTCATTCAGATAATTTTTGTTTTCAATACATAAAATGCACAGCAATAATATCACCTATGTTTTAATTATTCAAGCTGAAATTTGTGGCAACATGATATTATTTACTTTCTTTGATCAAATACTGTACTCCCTTCCCAAGATCTTCAGGGGCTTACCATACTTCAGCAAAATCCAGGCTTAAACCAAGGGCATGGCAGAAGTTGGCCCCTTACTCCATTTTCTTAGCTTTGACCTTACCGCTCCCATTTGGTTTTGCATGCTTGTTTCAGATTCAACCTTGTCAGACCAATGACCTTAGCCACGTTGCTCTTTGTTCTTGTGCTTTCCATAGAGCACGAAAGAGCTTTTTATTTTGGGGACTGCAGATGAAAGCAGTAGCTGTTGCATGAACTTTCTGGATGAAACATCTACTGCAAAATCACCAAGAATTTGACCCAGGAGATCCCATGTTATCCTACCTGCCTGGGCAGCTATTCCAGATTCACCATAACCGCTATCCTTGAAGGCCTTCTGTAGCCAAGTCTGCACCTCATTAAATGCCATTAAATATCTGAAGAAGGCAGAACCCGGGCTGGTAAATTTTACCTACACAGAAATTTGATCCTTTGGAAATGTAAATTTTACATAATTTCCACAAGTAATTACTAAGTGTTGTTCGTTTGGGGGGTTTTTTTTGAAGACTTTTTTTATGCTGAAACTGAAATTCAAACACATAGGTCCTCCAGAATTTCAACAAATTTTTAATATATATGATTTTAAATATATATAACTTTTATTAGTCCTTTTTATGTGACTTCTTATCCCAGAGGCGTAAGAGCATGCCCAATTTAAAAACAACAACAACTAACCGATAGCAAAGGAAAGCACGCAAGTTTGATCCATAAAGGCTCAAATCACAAAAGAATATAAAGCAAAGGAGTTATTTTTATTTTATTTTTTTTAATTGTGTATTAAAACCAGGGGGCATGACATGAGCATTTCAAATGCTTGAGGTTGGCAGTAAACTAATGGAATTTCACTAATGTCTATAAATAAAAGCATCCAGGTCAAAGGATGAAGATAATGTGGATGACCAGAGCTTGTTCAGAACATATGGTGGGCCTAAAACAATCACATAAGAAAGTATTTTTACCTCAAAGCCAAAGAAATTTGCTGCAAAAGATTGACTCAGATCACTAGGGTCCTATACTAAGTGAGCAGAAAAACATGTCAGGTCATTGAAGCTCTCAGGAAAAAATTGCTGTAGACCATTTTAGTGGTAATTTACAGAAAAATTACCCACCAAAAGACTGACCTCCATTACTTGAGTAGGTAACTGAATTCAGTGACACAGCTACCAACACCCCTCAGAACTTCTTAAAATCCTGATGCTAACACAATACAATGTTACAATGAAAATAACATCAGAGGAATGATATTTTGAGTACGGTTTCTTATCACGTGTCTGCTTATTTAAGTACAAAAATTAAGTCAAACAAGCACACTGTAATTTTATTATATTTGCAGGCAAGGTATTCATATTTCCACATATGAGTTGAGACTTATTTGAACATCTTCACTGTAAATTGATAAGAAATAAAGATAGCTCAGTGGGGGCTCCTTTCATTCATTCTCTTATGTTCCAACAAATGGTGAAACTAATAGGAACATCGGAAACAGTGTAAATCCTGTACCAACCACATACACAATGCCCTACCAAGCAAAAAAGAACAAAATATTATCATATCCTCCACAGTTTATACTTACTGGTGGCTTAAT